ACTCTTTTCCCAAAAATTTTGCTGATCGCAGGCAGGGGGGGGCCCCGGTCGTCAGAACATTAGAACGCATCTTTCAAGTGCGGCGGGGGGAGTCGTCAGAACTTAAACTACTCATTTTTCAAGTCGCCGAAATAGTAGTCCGCGTCGTAACTGACCAGATAGTCGCACTCCCCCTCCAAAAATGACGCAAGTCCAACCCTCGCCCCTTTTTTTTAACACAGCGCCGTCGAAACACCCACGAGAAAACCTTATCTATCAAAAAATTTTTCTCTGACCAAATACGACCCCCCTCGCGGTCAGATACGACCCCCCCCCCCCCTTGTGTTGATCACAACGATGGCGTACCCTGCTTAGCAGTGCTGTGTTGTGTCAAGTCAACTGGCATAAGTGCTCTGGTAGTTTGATGGTGTAGCATGTGTTTTGATGTGACAAGACCACTTGAAGTGCCCATGAGAGGGTCAGATGTTCTGACAGACAGTGGCATCATGCTTTCTAGGAAAGAGGGTGCTGTGGGAGGGTGTTATATTCCGACGTTGGGTAAGCCATGTTAGACGCTCTTTCGTAGGAGGGTTCAGACGAGGACACGTAGTGTGCCTGATCCCGCTGCAGTGTAGCTCATCTCGAGATGAATAGCGCTGAAAAAGATAACCATTGCAACACAGCAAATTTTCCTACTTTTTTCCACTAAAATAAATAACCTTGTTTTCGAGTCTGTTCCCAGTTAGGTTTTTTCATGGTTTTTTTTGCAAATGGAACAAATGGCTCCCCGTTTTCATATGCCATGAGCACGTTTGATGATTTCCAGGTCAACTTCTGTTTTTTATAGTGATCAGTTGTAACAATTGTCCGAAAATTGTTGCGTAATCGTTTTTCATTAACTTTTGCTCTTATGTAATCAGCAGATGCGAAGTAAACGAGCATATGGTATGCTATTGATAAGATAAAGACCAAAGTCCGCTGATTGGGGTCAGATACCGCTAATCACACTTCAGGTGTTGTAAGGAAGGTTAAATGCCAAAATTATCAACTAGAACTGGTGTCGGGAGGTTGCAAGAAGGAGTGCTCGCCACTGATCAATAGCACAAGCCACGAGATGGGTGCTTTATTCTGAGCCATGGAAGTTACTTGTGGTTGCACTGGAACATGTTTCTTATAGAGCTGCGATTTGTTGGAAAGGGGGATAGGTGGTTTGCCAAAGTACAAAGCCGACCTCACACTTTACGGCCACTAAGTGTTGTGAAGGGAATTCTAAGCTAAATTTTCGAAATGTCACGAATGTCAGATTCTTAGGATAAGAGGGTTTGTGAAGCAGTTCTGATCTGCCTTGCTCACTCATATATTCTCAGATTATGTGGCTCAGGAGGATTACATCTCAGCAGTCATGGTCATAGTGTCCGTCTAATGAGATTTTCTGCGATCTAGGAACATATATTGGGTTGGCACATAAGTACTTTCGTTTTTTTTCAACCGGAAATTTCGTTCCAAAGATGAAATGTTTTGCTAGCAAGCTTGATATCATCTGATAGGAAACTTCACGTAGTTTTAGAATATCAAAACGGCTTCGGGTTGAGGAAAGATTTTTTGTGCGATTTTTTAGTCGTTTTGAACGTTTGAAAGCGAAGTCGGCGAAAATTAGCACTTTCGACAACTGCCTCTATTTACGTATAGTCGAAGTGCTAAAATCGCTTAAGCTGCTCCATACATTTGGAAAAGGTCGAGCTAGAAGTTCCAGCAAGGGAATCTCACTTCCCCGGTGCCTTGATGCGCCCGGCCGGCCCGACGCTCTTCCGATCCGCACTAGGACGCTTTGGAACGAATTTCAAGAATTTTGAAGTTACCAACCTTCACCTCGCCGATATTGGGCAGCTCACGTCTGTTCCACCTGAAATTTTATGCTAATATTTGAATGTTTCGCTGATATGTTTTGCATGTTCTGATAGCAAATTTCGTGCTCTATAACACTGCTATAGAAATCTGTTCTTCCAGAGGTGTTTGCTTTCTGTTAAGTTCAGGTTATCATTACGGAACGCGAAGTCGTTGAGAACTAGCGTTCCCGTTCTCCACGAATTTTATGCTAACATTTGAATGTTTCGCTAATGTGTTCTATATGTTCTGATAGCCAATTTTCGTGCTCTATAACACTGCGTTGCAGTTATTTTGAAAATCCGTTTGATGAACCTTGTTTTTCAGGTGGATAATATGGAATGTCAGGTCGATAAGCATCAGCACTTCAGACATCTCCTCCTTTTCGCATTCAACAGAGGTATCAGAGCTGCTGATGCTGCTCGGGAAATTCGCGAAGTGTACGGAGAAGATGCCCTCTCTCTCAAAACAGCCCAAAATTGGTTCAGACGCTTCAAGAATGGTACTGATACCTCTGTTGAATGCGAAAAGGAGGAGATGTCTGAAAGTGCTGATGCTTATCGACCTGACATTCCATATTATCCACCTGAAAAACAAGTTCATCAAACGGATTTTCAAAATAACTGCAACGCAGTGTTATAGAGCACGAAATTGGCTATCAGAACATATAGAACACATTAGCGAAACATTCAAATGTTAGCATAAAATTCGTGGAGAACGGGAACGCTAGTTCTCAACGACTTCGGCGGTTCCGTAAATGATAAGCCTGAACTTAACTTAGAAAGGCAAAACCTGCTGGCAAACAGATTTTCATAGCAGTGTTATAGAGCACGAAATTTGCTATCAGAGCATGCAAAACATGATCAGCGAAACATTCAAATATTAGCATAAAATTTCAGGTGAAACAGCAGGGAGTGCCCCCAATTTCGGCAAAGGGAAGTTGGTAACTTCCAATTCTTGAAATTGCTTCCGAAAAGCGTTCTAGCTGAGATTCCCTTGCTGGAACTTATACGTCAGCATTTCCAAATTCTATGGAGCCAGGCTCAAAGTGACTTAAGCACTTCGACTACACGCTTAAATAGATTGCATGTTGTCGTAAGGTGCTAATTTTCGCCGACTTCGCTTTCAACTTCAACGACTAAAAAATCCACAAAAATTATTCCCTCAACCAAAGCCGTTTCGATATTCTAAAACTACGTGACCAGTTTCCTATCAGATGATATCAAGCTTGCTAGCAAAACATTTCATCTTTGGAACGAAATTTCCGGTTGAAAAAAAACGAAAGTACTTATGTGCCAACCCAATATTTTCCACCTCTTCGATGTTTTCTGTGATTCAGTGTACTGTGACGTGCTTGTTTCTACACGCCGTCTGTGGTTTCGCGGCGACCCGTCTCTTCGAGGCCTTCATCGGTCTCATTCCGAGGCATGATATCCGCGATAACCATGGTAGGCCAAGTGCGCGAAAGCCTGTTTGCCTTTTTCCACTGGCACTTCTGTTTATCTGTTGACAAGATGAGGCCCATATCAATGGTAGACTGCACACTCTACAGCTCCGTAAGATTCCTTCTCCATCAGTAGTCCATGCTGAGGCAGTGCGCCACGATGGCTGCAAGAGGCGGCGATTGCTGTCGACTCATTGGTGGGGAGGGGGGCGGGCTGTAACATGGCCGCAATCCCGCCTTGGATCAGTGCAGGCTTGGCGAGCAACCGCCCGGCCTTACAGCCATCGTGTCAGTGTCTTGCTGCTCCACAGTTATATACTGCATATCGCACAAATCCTGATTATCGTAGGTAGCTGCAACTTCTGGTGTCGCATGCCCATCACCCATTCCAGAGCCGCGAAAACGGGGAAATCTTTGTGACCACGCCCTTTTGGTGGGAGGAATTATACAAAGAACGTGGAAACTTGTATTTGAGGACGATTCACAATGGCTAAAAGTTGCAGCTCATGCATTGTCGCGGAATATGTCCTTAGTGCTGTTGTGATTGGTAGCACGTGGGAGGCAGTTCCCATCCCACCCCCTGAAGTTCACCAACTTCTGGTATTCTCTTAACTCTGTCCTTTTCTTATACGAGGATCTACAATTGGACCTTAAATGCTAATAACCAGGGGCACATTTGCGGGCATTCGGAGGACTCACTTACGAGAGTGAGTATAGCGTCACCCAAATGGAGGTACTGCTGTTCTCTATATGATCGGCACCCTGAAGCTGTTCCCCCTTTACGATTTAGCCAACTGCGTCATTTCCATTGCAGAATCCCCACTTTTGCGCAGCATTTGATAAATGTCCGCCCCCAAGGTGATTAGCACCGGCCCTTTTATTGACCATTTTAATTTTTTCTACCCAACCTCGTTATTACGACATAAGTATCGGAAAGATTGAGGGTCGTTAAACGACTGCAAATTAATCTTCTGGGCAGCGAAGGCATACATGCTTGCTATCGTGCTTGCTGTCGGGTATTGCCTCGTATCACAGTTGAGTACGTTTGCAAGCTCGAGTGCACGGGGGCCTTCTCTGCAGGTCTTGACTCTTCAGTACAACCTACTGCTAATTTGCCCAGTTGTAGAATTCCCTGCCAGCCGAATAACTCGAACATGACTTTTTCTTTGATACTCGAAGTGTTTTTCGATTTTTCACTGTCCAGACCAGCTTGTGACTCATGCACTCCCCCCACTGGGAATAGAAAAAATTCCAATTTAAAAATCCTGAAATCAGCCTTCCGGCTGTTCATTGTCTTTAGTGAGTTGAACAAAAAGTTATTTGCCTAGTTGGATAACAAAGGACAATGCTTCTACCACACTGTGATGATAAATGCTCCTTTACTTGTTATTCTGCTCTGTCACGCTATTTTGGATGTTGTTTCGCCACAACAGCTTCCTTCTTTGCCCACTTTTGCAATCAGCACTGCCAAATATACACCCAGGCACAGATTGGGTTCATTTTTTTGGGGGGCGGGGGATGGGGAGGGTAGATCTTGGACTCATAATGTGTATCTTCTTCTACCGTATTCACAATGTAATCGATTGTAATCGATTTCCTTTCGTCGCGCCGTTCGTTCAACAAGCCTTGGATTTTGATGAAATGTATAGGTAAATCGAGAGCAGCATAAGCAACTATACTGGCTTGCTCTCGTATGACTGCACTTGTTGATTCGGAAGCGGTGGATTCACCGTCGCCTCTTCCTTCCAAAAGTCTACTGAAACGATTTCGTAAACGACTTCTCAGTGTTGATGGAAAAGCGAGTAAGCGAAATGTTTTTCGTGAAGAATTTGATGTTCATTTATTGATTCTTTGTTGAGTGCTCCACAGTTAGGCAAATTTCCTGTGAATTTTATGCCCTGCAAATCAGCGTTTGGCGTAATTTCATTTTTCGCATATTTTATTTTTTCCTTATTTAAAGGCACCGGGTTCGACTGCCTGAATGTAGATCCTGCCCATATTCATGTTGGGCGGATTCATAGCGGTAGAAGTGTGCCACTTTCGGCACTCAAAGGTGCATTTCAAGAAAGCTAGAAGCTTGTGATAGCTTGATATTACCGATGTCTCCGCCCACCAATTGACACGCCGCAGCTACTCTGCTCTTCTGCGGCCTCTCATTGAGATAGTGTTCGGTAATTTTGTAGAAATTTCTGAGCAGTCTTTCAGTGATAATATGTAGAATCTAATGGCGTTACGGCGCATATCAGGTGTGTGTCGAGTCGTGGTTATAGGAGAACGAAAATTAGTGAGAAAGAAATTTATCGGTAAGCCTCTTGCGGCGTAGTTTCGAGGCGGCGAAATCTGGGCGACCAATTTTACGGCTACGACCCTTACCGCTTGATTAGGAAATTAGCAGCTGGAAGCCCCGCTCGGTGCGACGTATAATTTCTGCACCGCGGAAAGAAATCAAAAAGAATATCGCGCTGAAAATCCTACTAGATGTTATTCAGTTGGGCCCTGGATGGACATGACTTTCGTTTTTGTTTTGTTTTATCTGACGCCACTCTGCGCCAGATAAGCGCAATCGTCTTTTTTGCCAAAACCGATGAAAACTTGCGTATAGTTACATTGCGGACGGGCGTGTTTCTAAGCGGGCCTTCTTGGCAGCGGTGCCAGAACTCGTTTTCCACGAGTTGTTCAAGCGAGCAAATGACAATACTCTATCATACCTTTCGTATTACTTGTTTTCTACTGCTTTTTGTCGCATGCCCGTTTCAACAAGAAGGCAGAGATTAGCTCAAAAAGGGTGACACACTCATACTGGCTGACACGCCCAACCGTCCGCAGCGAAGTAGAGTGTAATAGGTTGATTGATATCTCGCCATTTTTCGACAGAAGTGCAATTCAACGATTGCTAAGGCTGAGCTCGAGAGAACCACTGATTCCCTTCCCTCTGCTCAGCCATAGCAGAGCGCGTATGATTGGAGTGCCCTATATCAACGCCGAAACGGAGAACGAAAATGGCCTCAGCGTCACAAACAAGCTCGATATACGTGATCCGAATGTGAAATAGCTCCCGTATGCAAATTTTGATCAATTTTGGTAGGAGGTTTTGGTGCTTGCGCCAAAAATGGAGACCATGTTCGTGATCAGGATTCTGAATAGCCTCTGGGGCGAAGTCCTAGCGGAAATTTTCCCTAGAGTTTTTGGAGTCGTAATACTGGAATAGTGCCGACTTTTCTTACGCGACAATAAAAAACCTCGATGAAGGAACTACGTTCCACTACCTCGCGGAAGGTAATGGAAAACATCTATTCATCGGGAAGGTGCACTCAGTTGTACTTTCGAATAACCTCTAATTTATTGCCCTTCTAGAGCCTATCTCCATTGTTTCAATTTTTTTTCTAGATGAAAGTTCAGATTTTTTGAAAGGGTGTTGCATTCTCAAAGTAATAATTGGATTATCCCGAAGCGGAAGTAATAGCGTTGAATGTTAAGTGATGCAGTAACAAAGGCTAAAAGCTAATAACTTTACATTGGAGGAAAGTTCAGCTTGTGAAATTACTGGCTGATAAGGAGCTAAGCCACTTTCATACTTCGCGACTCAAGTGTCCAATCGCGCGATATTCAGATAACGGGGCTGTGAACGACCACGTTCCCATCGCTGCGGCTGCAGATTCAGCCACATTCCTAGGTGCTTTTCGTTCAGCGTTCCAACGAGTAGCGTCGGATCGCGGTCGGTCGCAACTGCGCGACTAAGTCGCTGGAGTCGCAAAGTATGGATTTTGTCTGAGAAAGCAAGATACCGTTGATTTTCAGGTGCGCTCCCAGCGACATCTCGAAGTTCCGATGATCAATCATCTCCACGTCGTCCACTCTATGTAGACATTCCGTTAGCAAATGGTTTGAATGACAAGCGAAAAAGCCCGGTGACGAGTGTCGTTGATTTTGTTCGAGGACGTAATCGCACGGCTTCGGTGAGTAACTTTTCAGAATTTTTCACCTTCGGGTAAGGTAGTCAAATTCGTGGAATTTTCATCCCCTGTTTCCATCTTGCTCATCTCTAGATTAGTTTATTACTCTGTTATGGAATTTTTTTAATGAAAATTCAACTATTGCGTAAAATAGAATGGAAATAGAAAAAATTACGGTTTTAGGAGACGGGGGTGGGCTTGAAATGGCCCTACAGGTTCGAGGGACGAGCAAGGCTGGGTCAAGGGATGAAATTTCCACTCATTTCTTTGTTCTGGCCTTTTTCGCGGGCGCTGGAACTGCTCCGATGGTCTAAGTTTTGAAACTGAAAAATGAAAATAAGCAGTTAGCAAGTTGAAATGTGAAAGAAAGCAGCGATAAATAGTGGTAATATTTGGGAGTACATTAATAAACAGTAGGAAACGTCAAAGAATTGGCAGCGTACGGAGTTGTTTGGGAATGGCCACAAACTAGCAACTATTTCCTAGGTACTTGATTCGACATATTGCAGCTCTTTAAATCAATTAGGTCCTGTCGCGAATACCGAAAACGTCTCATATGCGACGAACATTTTGCCGCTTTTGCTCAAGCTCTATGCTATTTTGCACAGTTCCATGTTACATGAAAGTTTCATTTACATCGTTGAGTATCGCAGTTTTCTTCCACTTTATTTTATTTCTTAAAATTTCCAGTTTCACGGAGTTTGTA